AATTTGTTTTACAAATATAATTGCATTATGCATTAAAATACTTTTAAGTATGCACGGCATCAAGGAAACTCCTGCATTAAATTGTAAATGTTAAGTAGTAATAAAAATTATCAAATAAATATACAGAACTTAAAGAGCGAAAGGGAAAAAAAAGAAAATTTGTTACATTTTTGCTAAACCAACACCCTCAGTAAATTTTAATTATTTGGAAGATAGTAATAAGAAATTGTTTCAAAAAGAACTGTGACTTGACGCAAAACAAAATAGTATATATAAAATTAGGCATTTTGTTGAGAGTGCAGTCTCTTCTTTTTATACCATTATGACTAAATATAACTTTTTCCCAAAATTTAATTATTTTAAAGAAAGATTGTGATATATTAGACATAGAGAATTTTTAATAAATTTTCTGAAAATTATGGAATTATTTTACCCTTATAAGTTTTAGAGTCCCCCTTCTGGGATCCTAAGAGATTTGAGGGCCAGGGACGGGTTCTCCTCCTGAATTCGGGACCGGAAATTCAATTCATATTTTATTTTACAATCATGCATTTATTATTCGTTGAACAGTCGATCCAATTTTTGGGGTTATGTTCAACTCCGAAGCAAAATAGTTTTGAACTCAATTCAGAAGACAAAGAAATTCCTGGATAAAGTATTGGAAGAAATTTGCCTTCGTGGAGGACTTTTTAATGGAACTAACCCGCATTTAGGTTGCATGGAGAGGAAAACCCCGAAAACCTCCCATGGTTAGCCTCACTGCAAGGGGACTCTAACCCATGATCGTCTTCCACTGAGGATATTTTACGTCAGCACTGAAGTCTGGCAATATGTAATGTTGCGAAAACAAAACACAAAAACGTACTTGCTCTAAACAAACATATATATTTGGCGACGGATTCTAGAGAATCTGAAAAATAGGCCGTCAATTGATTAAATCAGCAGAGCTATAAAAAATTAGCACACTTACACCCGTACGCACCAACACGAGTTATCTCTGGGTAATCCATTGTTACGAGTTAAGTTAAACACGAAACGTTATTCTCCAAGCCGTAATGTCTCAGAGGATAGAGCTTTCACCTTCCAATGAGGTGAACCCGGTTCCAATCCCAGCGATGACTGGTTGATACGCATTCCGCATCCGGCTTGCCTCGACCACAGTGCTGACGTGAAATAGTTTTAGTGGTAGACGAATAATGGGTTAGAATCCCCTTTCCGCCAGTCTAACCGTGGTAGGTTTTCGTATAGTTTTACACTCCATGTAACGCAAATGCGGGTTAGTACCATCAAAAAACAGTACTCCGAGAAGGCAAATTTCTCCCAATATTTGATCCAGAAGTTCTCTTGTCTTCTGGATTGGGTGAAAAATTGCAAGGCTAAGGAGTTGCATATTAATAGTCGCAAACCCAAAAAATCGGATTGATTGTTAAACTACGGTTATAAAATAAAATAAAGCGCTATTCTCCAGTCGAAATCTGCAGATTATCCGCGGGGATAAATCTCTGTTTTTGAGAAGGTATCGAATGGGTTAACCGACTATCTACATGGCTTTGGCTACCTGCTAATCGATTTTGCAAACAAACAAAATAGACAACTGCTATCAGTGCTTTCGAGTTGAAAAATTTTGAATTTCTCGAAACTGTTTAAATAAGGAAAAGATATGTACCGGCTGTAAGAAATGCGTAATAACTTTGAAGAGGTAAATGACATAGATTATTTGATGGATATCGCTGAAAATTAACATTTTAACTTAACTGTCAGTTGGAGTCAGGCTCAGATCTCAACAGAAAAAGTTTGGTAAAAAGAAAATAAATATTAGGGATACTTAAAAAACTAGCCAATGTTTTAGCAGTCGTATATGATATTTTTATGAATTTTATTTCACAATAAAATATAAATTTTTACAACGTGATGAAAAAATTTTTGATAAAAAGTGTTTGCATTGCATAGTGTAAAAATTTATTTTTGCAAATATTAATAAAGATAGAGATTTCTGCAACAAGTGTCTTTGATTTCAGTTTTGAAACAGAAATTTTTTTCACTGTATTCAATATAGAAATAATTCTAAATAGATTTAAGCCTTTTAAGAAAGTTAAACAAAATATGCATGTACAGTAATGTTATTACATGATTATACTTCATTTTATACTTGGAAATTATACCTTCTGAATTTGTATTTTTTGTTATAAATTGTCAATATGAATAAATGAATGTGTATTTGCTTTTGAACAAATAATAATCCAACATATCTTGTAAGTTTCATCATCAGTTTCTCCAGAAAATGCTAAAAGATGAAAACATCAAGCACATTGCATGGAAGTTAAATTTTGAAAAGGTAAAATAACTTTGTAAACTATTAAGTTTTTCAAATAAATTTAAAAAAGAAAAAAAATTCTGTTCCTGTCAGAAAAATACATTAAAAGACATGAGAAAAGGGTTTTGTGGTGTCGATAAAAGTTTATTACTGAAGTGAGGTGCCATACGATTTTTATATTTTGGTCTGTTAAGAACAGAATTATTTTCTCCTTTTATCGTACGCTCAGAAAACGTCGTTTTTAAAATTTCAAATTTGTTTCTTCTCCTCTTTTATTTGTTAGTTTGCTTATAAAAAGTTCTCGAAAAATCTTTATATCACGCTTAGAAAATGCTGTTTTTAAAATATCAATTTTCTTTTCCCTTTTTATTTGTTAGCTTGCTTATGGAAAAGTGCTAAAAAAATTGTTTCGGAAACGTTTTTCTTGCAGCATTTAAAAAAACAAAACAATTGTAACTTGAATGGGTATCAGACACAGGAATCCAATTGAAATTTGAGAGATTTATCTAGTTGAAAAGTGGTAGATATTTCGATTGACAATAAATTCAACTTAACGATTATGTGTTAATGTTAATTTGAATTTTTCAGCTTCTATATACATTTTACTTTTTACCTCGAACTTTTTCGAAAAGAACTTTTTACCTCGAAATCATAAAATTTTGCACACAATTGTTAAAAGATGATTTCATGTAAAAATTTTTTTTTTTTGAAATTTATTATTTTACTTTATAAAAAAATTGAATGGTGAATGAATGATACAAAATGTGAACGAGTTAAGTGGAATAGGTTCTAAGTTATCCATCCATTGTATCCATTATTAAAAATATCCATCCCAAGAATATGCATCATTGAAAAGTCGTATATTTAAAATTTTATGCCTCGAGTACTATTTTATAGTTGTTGTTCAAATTTTGTATTTTATCACTTGAATTTACTTTTAAAAGGATGAAATAAAATTTTTCTATCTTAAAATTCAAATTTCTTTGGATTATCGTTAAATACAAGCAATAATTATTAAAAAATATTTTTTACACGGAATTATTTTTGACACGCAATTATATAATTGTATATTAGTACTTCATCAGTAGTACTTAAGTTTATTTGGTATTACTACATGCTTTCGTAACTTAAAATACTATCTATACACTAATAAATTAGCATAGTTTATGCTAGCAATTATAATGGTGAGTGAATTGGGCCATTGTTATTTATAAACATTTTTATTTGACGAGAAAGATAAGAGAAACATAACAAAGTATTCCCTATAGCAGTGATTTCTAATTTATTTCAGATATGGAACCCTGAATAATTGAACTTTTTTGGTGGAACCCCGACTTTATAACTAATAAAGCATATAAAAACAATTGGCAGCAAATGAACCAATAAAATACTACTTTATTTTGAAAAAAATTAAAAGAAGAACGAGATTTTTTTATCGTTCTTTTTTAATTAATCTAAATTTTAATTAATCTAAATATAACAGGGCAATCGATTTCACTACTCCTGGAGTGATAGCTAATTAAGTTTTAAATTAGTTTATGGAGTCTATACATTAACGAAAATGAAACAAATAAGCCAACATTATGATTTATTTTTTAAACGAAAACTAAAAGGACTGTTATAGACGATGAAAATGGTTACCAGGGAAACATATCTCTTAAGTAACGAATTTAGATTTTGATTTGAAATGCGCGATGGGAAATATTAAAGGAGATTTTCATAAATGCAAGCTCTTTCGATAATATTGTAAATCAATACCAATGTTTCAAATTAAAAAACAAAACAAGTATATAAATATTTCATATATTAAAAATATTGTTCTTAAAAAAATAATATATTTTTATACAAAAAGATTTATTATTTCTTTTTAATTGGTATTTCGTTTTAAATAATTTCATAAGCATAGTCGAAATAATAAGTAACTAATAGGTTATTAATTAGATCTAAATATAAATAAAGTTTCACAAATCTCTACTGCGAGGTACTCTTAACATAAAGAAGATCTAAATCTCTAACTTAACCAAGTCCTAAACCTAAAGAAACCTTTTTGCACCTCCACGCAAACCTATTGCTCCACGGAACACCATTCGGGAACCACTGTCCCATGTGTTTGAATGAAAATTATACACCTCAATGACGAACTATAAAACAAAAAAAGTCCACTCTTTCTAACAACATCTATATTCGAACTATAATGAATGGAAGATTTCTGTTTAAAACAAAAAAAAAATCAACAACAAAAAGATCACTTTTTCTAGCATCATAGATGCTCGCATTATATTGAATGGAAGACTTTCGTTTTTTTTTAAAAAAAAAAAAAAGAACTCTTTTTTTTTAGCATCATTGATGTTTGCCCTATAGTGAATGGAAGACTTCTGACCACTTTACTGAAAAAAGACCACTTTTTCTAGCACCATCGATGATCGGTTTTAACACCATATAATAAATGGAAGAATTATTTTTGTCTAAGTGTCATCTCTTTAAAACCTACACGTCAATTTCAAATGGTTTTTGGCTCAAAGAACCACCTTTTCCTGCTACAAAAGATCTGTCGCTGAGCCACGGTTCTAAAATAAAAATAAAATAGATCATATTATGTACTTTTCCTATAACTGCTTTTCAATTTTAAAACTTCAATAAGCAACCTAGAACTGCGTTACAACTTTTGAAAAATACCAAAAAAACATGATGGTATCAACATTTTAATAATAATAGAACTATAAAATACATCTTTCGTTTCTTCTTTTTTCTTCTATTTATTCCTTTAAAGGACAATCCTGTCGCATTTCCATCTTCACAAATATGTCTTCAGTTGTTAGAAAATTTCTGCTATTCAAAAACTTTAAAGGATCCTAAAAAAATAAAAAATTTGCATTACTTTGTTGTTTATAAAATTATTTGCGATTTTAGACTTTTTTTAAAAAAAATTCACGAATAACCAGAACTTCTCATAAGAATCCCAAAAGCTGAACATGGCTATTTGTAAAAGTATAGTGCTATTTTTTTTTGCTGGGACGATATGGAAAGACGTAATATTTTTCTTCCTTAACTGCATTTCTCATTTTATTATTATTATTATTACTATTTTTCATTTATATTTGTTTACAGTTTCACGCCTATACATTTTGGTAAAATAAGTAGGCTAATTTTTTATTTGCATTTAATAAAAATTATTTTAGGGATTAGTTTCCCTTTTGGGGATTTTTTTTCTTTCATTTGCTTCGTATTCGACATTCATTCAAATTTTTTGAACAACAAAAACTTTTAATAACCTTTTTTTATGTTTTGAATTGATTAAAGAATCCGCATTATTCTTCTCCATAAGTAAAATTTTCCGGCATTCTTGGAAAAAATGAAGTATTAAGAAGAAAAATTTGGTAGATTTTGATTAATTCAGCGATAAAGAATGCAGCTTATAATTTATATTTGTGGCCTAAGATTGAAGAAATTTAGTTTTTGCATGAGTTCCACAAATAACCATAACTTACAGTAGTTGGCTATAAACTACTTAGCTAAGTTAGTAGTAATATAGCATGGTTCATTTCTAAATTTCATGAATACATTTCTTCAAATTCGCATTCCATGTCCATGTTTTTAGTTTGAAGGTCGTCTTAAACAGAAAACAACATTATAAACATTGTAGTTTTGTCTTTGTAGCGTTAATTAAGCTAACGTAACGTTAAGATACGTAGCATGCGCAGTTGCTTCAAATCTAACGTACGCGACTGTACGTTAAGTAAAAGTGCGAAATCTCCCTAATATTGCTATAACGCTTCCGTGGTTTCGAGCCACGCGCTGGTGTTCGAAGTTATTACACAGCATTTAATGATTATTTTTAATTCAATGAAACGACGGGTTTTATATAAATTGTATTAATTTGTTTTCCAAATGAAACAAAAAAAAATATAAAGCATTGAGCACATTGAGTCTTAAATTATATCATAAATTCACTCATGAGAATTGTTCTAAAATACCTTTGTCTTGGGAGTAATCTTAAAGGCGCTTAACACATGAATTAAGCACACTTTCAGTTCCATCAGCGCAAATCTCATACCAATGCAATTTCGAGGACCCGCTCCAAACGGCAAATAACTGTAAGGAATCTGCTCAGTTCTTTGGTCAGGACTGAATCTGTTACAAGAAGCAAAACATAAGAAATTATATCTTAACATTATATGTATACAGAGAGAGAGAGAGAAAGATTTGATACTCAATCAATTAATTTGATAAATTGTAGTCTTTATTAAAATACTTTCATTTTTAATTTCAATTGTCCAATGTAATAAACATTTTTTTTAGTTAGTATGGGTCCCGCAGTGGACTGATCGATAAGACACGGTTCCCAGCAGATCACCGAAGTCAAGCATCACTGGCTGCGGTCAGTGTGCGGGTGGGTGACCACTTGGATCAGTCTGCGTAGGGACCGAGGGTGTGCAGTATGGGTCCTCGTTAAACTGTGCTACCGTAAAGTGCTCGACTTCGACAATTCCATATTCGCAGGTCGTCGGGCTACCGAAGCGGGGGTGCCATCCCCTCCGCAGAGGATCAAAATTGTGATGGCATGTCTTCGGATCATCCTCAGGGATGTTTCCCAGATCGTCGCCAATAGCCCATCGTACAGCTCTAGTGCGACGTAAATTAACAACAACAACAACAATTAGTTAGTATGGAATGAGCTCTGGTTTATAAACAGTCACCCTCGATGAATTCAGGCAATACATATAGACTTTACTGTTACGAAAGAATGTAAGAATGAAGGAAAAATTCCATAGACGGCTTTCTATCCACATATGTAGGCTCTGGATTATAAACAGTTACCCTTTAAGAGGGGGAAAACCAATGTTTGGCTTGGTTAAATATGAGGAGATATTAAGAAGTTTTAATTCACGTTTACATGAAATTGTTTTCTTAATTCTTTAGTACTTTTTACGAATTTGTTCTTTAAACTTTCAAATTCTATGCTTTTCTCGACAGTGGTTTAAGAAATGCTAGGAGATTATCAAATTTCTGTGATTTAAGTTATCAATGTTTTTTTATACCCTTCAAGAAATAAATAACAGGGCAAAAAAATAAAAAATGGATCACCCTGAATAACTTTTGATCTGATGATCGGAACTTCGCGTTCTAGGACTGAATCTTAATGGATTGAGAGGCTAACCGTAAATACGCTAATTAATTAATGCAGGCGATATTTCAAGTAACGAAATCAGGCACAAAAACTTACTTTATAGTTCTTGTAAAATCGAATTTAAAAAAATCAAATATTTAAAATTCGCCTTCTGGACAACTGGACCGATTTCACACCGGATTTTTCCGAGCGTCAGACGTACTACATCTTATTAATGCTCGACCACAGAGGCATTCTCATTGTGTACGTTGACGGACCCGCAATCAGATTCGATGCACCCATCAGATTCAAAATTTTTTTAGCGTTTAACTTAGTTTCTTTATTTAACTAACATTAAAAGTAATTGCCTGGAATTGTTACAAACTACTGTTTTTTTGTTCGTACAACTCACTACAATACTTCTTTTTCGTATTTTAGTGAGTCTTGTTTTAGTATTGTAGAGTTCTTTTACTATTGCAGTTGTCTTTACGTAGCGCACTACACTTCAAACTACGGAAAAAGTAGCAACTACAATAGTTTCGCTACTTGTAGAGCGTTACCTCCGACCAATGCTTAAGGGTTAAGTTTGCCGTAAATCTCCCTAAAAAAAAATAATAATAATAAATGTTGTTGTTGTTGTCGTGTCTATGCATGCAGTGCTAGTGCAAAGATTAGAGTTCTCCAAAAGCCTTGATAACAAGATTTGCAAGTTCTGGAGCCCGGTGGCCGCGGAGAATTTCGATGGGGGGTGCTCCAAGTTGGAAGAGGGAGCCGAAATAATAATAAATAAATTTTTAAAAAAATTAATAATAAAATATAAATAAATTAAATGCCTACCTGTCAGGATCGAAGCGTTCAGGGTCAGAAAAATTCTCCGGATCCCTGTTCATTGAATAGACTGGAATTTCGATCGTCATTCCCTTCGGAATCTTAATTCCAGTATTTCCTAATTCGTAATCAGCAGCAGCTATTCTCTCGATCCTATTTCAATAAGAAAATGATGATTATTTTATACACCATTATTGAAAGTTAACAAGTTAGAAATTTTAATAAAAAGAGTAAAAGTAATGATATTACGTAGGGAATGGAGGGTAGAGACGTAACGTTTCTGAAATGATGTCGTCAATAATTTTTATCTTATGTATACTCTCATATGTAAGTTCTCCCTAAAAAAAATCAAGGCATGTTAAATACTTAAAAACCAAACTGCAACGCTTTATGTACAGTAAGCAAATAAATAAATAAATAATCAGACCACCCTGAATAATTTTTGATCTAATGATTAGATCTTCACGTTCTAGGACTCAATGGTTTGAAAGGGTGACTTCAAATAGGCTAATTAATTAGTGCAGACGATATTTTAAGTTATGAAATCAAACACAAAAGCGTACTTTCTCTAAATAAACATATTTTTTTTTGACGGATTCGAATTTCTGGCCCTGAAATGGGGGGGGGGAGTAGCCAAAATCAGGTAAATATCGTCATAACAGTTCGGCCTTGAGAGCGGTCCAAAGTTTGGATCCCTTGGAGTTAATTTTACTTTTGCGTATTTCACCTTATCTTGGGAAATTTTTGATCGAATTGAAAAATTCTTGCACACAATTATAAAATTTGCTTAGCCACAGATAATTCCAAGCAACAAAAGTCTTTTATAATGATTATTTGTTATTTTATTTAATAATTGTCGAAAAAAGTTTTTGATTGTAAGATTGACAATTTTTACATCCTTTTGAATAATGCAATTTTAAATGGCAAAATACAAAATTTGAACGAAATCGGTCATATAGTTCCTGAGAAATCGAATTTCAAGCATTCAATTTCTCAAGAACTATTTGACCGATTTCGCTCAAAATTTGTATTTTGCCATTTAAAATTACATACTTTAAAATGACGTAAAAATGAGTGAACCTTGCAGTTCAAAATTTTTTCGATTATTATTAAATAAAATAATAAATAATCATTATAAAATACTTTTTTTATGGAATTATTTTTAAACAACCAGTTTCATAATTGTGTGCAAAAAGTTTTTAATTTGCTTGAAATGTTCTCGAGATACGTCGTAAAAAATAAAAAATTATCATGAAGGGGTTCAAACTTTCGACCACTCACCTGCTAAACTATTGGGACTAGGTTTTCCTGATTACAGCTCCCCGTCGTCCCAATTTTAAGGGTCAGAAATCCAAGTATAAAATAAAGGTATGTTTGTTACATTTTTGTGCCTGACCCTGGAACTTAAAATATAATTTGCACTAATGAATTAACACAGTTGATTTCATCCTTTTTAATCATTAACAGAGATGCCAACTGCTCCAAGCACGCCGTAATAATTTAAAAAACGGTAAATAACTACGAACTAAAATTTGCAAATAATTGACTAATTTTGTTTACATTTTTATTGGTGTAGCATGACTTACATGGAACAAAGTGGCGAATTATATAAACCTTCAAATTATTTAGAAATAGTGATGGATATTGACCTAATATACTGAATTTATAAAACCAAGAATCACACATTAATAAACTACCACTCGAAAATATTTATTTGCTGTCCGGAGCAAGTTGGCATCTCTACATTAATATTGAGACAAGAAAATTCGATGACAAGATCAAAAGATATTCTAAGTGTTCCTTTTTTTTGTGCACTGTATAATAAATACTTCCTTCATGGCACCCAACCAAATAAAAGAAAATGTCATTGGTTATTTTATAAAATAGATATTTCTTCACTAATATTTCAATTCAATGATTCACTGTTTATTATTTTAGCCACTAGATGACGCTGTTTAATTATGTAATGTATAACTTTCAATAAGTTTCACTTCATGTTTTCTCCATCTTCTTAAGAGCTTATATTTACTAATTGTGTTCATTTAATACTTAACTGTTATTTTAAAAGCTGAACTTTTTACTGAATTAATAAAATTCATTGAGTAAGTCACACTAGGTATTCCTGCACTATTGAAGAATAGAAAGTGAACATGCACAAGACTAAGGTTATCTCTGCTACCTTTTATTAACGTAAGTGCGTGATTACCAACAGGTTATCGTTATTCTATTGTTCAAGAAATTATCGGGGTCGCATAAAGGATATTTTAAGAAGCTAGCAAAGTCTATAAGCACAAACATTAAATTCTTTCTTCACACCCAAACAAATCTCTGAAACAAACAATAAAAAATACAATTATCTCTCATACATTTTTGATCAAGAACTAGTCGAGGAGGAGAAAAAAATGTTTTTAAGAAGCTGGCTCAATTGTTCAGAATGTTACCTTTGTTTCTTTTAATGCATCTTTTATTTCGTGGTATGCCCTCTCTTGTACATCAGAGTTCAAGGCCAGTAAATAGGTGGCTAAAGATAACGTTGTCGTGGTTGAGTGGTAACCAGCTAGGAAGAAGACTAAACTCTGAGCCACCAGCTCATTCTTTGATATGCCTAAAAAAGAGATTTTGTTTTTGATCGAAACCGTTGAGTTAATATCGTAGAATTTTTGTATATTTATTGTATATATGTCTAAAAATGCGTTAGAGAACATTTTGAAAAATAAATTGAACTCAATAAGCTATGATTAATTTTAAAAAAGACATTGCTTAAAATATCAAAGAAACACATCATTTTAAGTTTAAAAAAAGTTTACTCGATGCCGCGAACTTTCAATTCAATTATCCCTCTATTTTTGAAAATTTCAAACCGTTGTTTTGAGAGTTTAACTTAACGTTGCATTTTATTTTGCTGAGCGAAAAATTGTAGAACTTAGAATGGTTGGAAGTTCCAGAATGGTTTGAAGTATCAAGAGTGGTTGCAGTATCAAGAATGGTTTGAAGTTCCAGAATGTTCTGAATGTGCCTCTTGAATCCATTGTGTTTTAAGAATCCATTACCTTTTCGGCGAATGATAGAAATTCTTCAAAGTTAACACTTAATTTCGTAACAGCTAAGGTAACACGGTGTTCCAACAGAGGCTGAATGTGGTTCTCTCTTCCTAAACACGCTAAGATTCGCAATTTTCTTGTTTGAAACGTCTCGGCTCAATACATTAATATAAACGAAGGCGAATTTTGTATTGTTTACTACAAAATATGAATGTTTTATTTTGCTTTTTCATAAAGTGTTAGAAAAACATCGCCTACTGACGTTTGGAAGAAGTGGTCTTAAATATGTTATGTTGTAAGCAATCATCTCCATAGTTGGCTGCCATGTCAACCGATTCCTCCATTTCCTCATCTTTCGACGTCTCTGTGGCAGCGTCGAGTAGAAGTTGCAAAAAATCATTTTTTGTCTGAAAAGAACGAAGAGTAATGGAATATCTCAAAATCGAAAAAATATAATAAATCAGAGAGCTTTCTATTCTGGACAGAGCTCAAATTGCGTTTTTATGTAAATGGAAACACTTCAAAGTGCATTTTTAAGTAAATGGATACAGTTTAAATTGCGTTTTTAAGTAAATGGAAACAGTTCAAATTGCTTTTTTAAGTAAATGGAAACAGTTCAAAATGTGTGTTTAAAATAATGGACGCAATAAAAATTAGGTCTTTTCAATATTCAACCGAAATTGAAGAATTAAACAAGGAATTGTGTACTTACCTTTCCTTAGTTTTTTAAAGACCAAGCATAATCATTACCAGGACTTCTGGGTAGGGTTGTTGTTGTAGTTAATTTACGTCGCACTAGAGCTGCACGATGGGCTATTGGCGACGGTCTGGGAAACACCCCTGAAGATGATCCGAAGACATGCCATCACAATTTTGATCCTCTGCAGAGGGGATGGCACCCCCGCTTCGACTTCTGGGTAGGGGTGGCTAGATACAATACAGATGATCTCTTCGTATACCGATTTCTAAACGATATAGTGACTTTTAAAAATTTTAATTCGTACACTGTGCATTTAATACCATTATTATATTTTTATTGGACTTGTGAAAACCTTGTAATAACAACGGTTTACTTAAAAAAAAAGACTAATTTAAAAAATGCTATAAGGGATAAAGGCAATTGGAAGACATCAAATTACGAACTTATTTGGATCCATTAGTTTATTACTAAAAAACAAAACAATACTGATAAAAGAAGTTTGAAGCATTCTCAAAAATAGAACTCTCAATTTTGAAGCTTCAGCAATCTTTGAGTTATATTTCGTTCATTTTGAGAAAAAATTTGTTCTCAAAATCACGTGATTTGTAACGAAAATCGGAATTCTCAAATCTACGAAGAAAATGTTTCCCTAACTAAAAACCTGTTCGTAGAGTATTGTATTGTGGTAGATTGTAAACTATTATGAAGACTAGACGATCGAAAATAAAGTGACGAAATAAGCCGGTCGGCTGTAGGATGGCCGAGGAATTAGCTTTGTATCAGGAACATCCCTGGTTTGAATCCCGCTTCTGGCATGGGTGTAATTTTTCTCACAGTTCTATCTATGTTTCTTGTGTTAATATAGCAGCATTGATCCAGCAATATGATGCTTACAATAAAGTGATTATTAGAAAAGTTAGATGCATTAGGCATTACTTTTTATTTGGAGGGGGGGGGAGAACAGAAAGACGAAACCTTTCTTTACTATTGACAAAATTCGTTTCCTCGAAGAAGTGACGATTGTTATTTCGTCACTTTGACGAAATATTCGCTCGAGGCATATACCATGAAACAGTTTCATCAAAAACGAAGAAAGTTTCGTGAAATTTGAGCATCCATTTTCTACAGTGAAAACGGAATGAAATGTTTTTGTTCATTTTATTAAACACGCATCTTGGACCCATGTTTATTTCGTGCTTTGTTCAGATTGAAAAGCTCACCGATCATTTTTTAAAAAAATCAAGTGTACCTGTCCAGTTTTTTTCCTCTCCGAAATGATCTGAAGGACCGTGTCTATGAAGAATTTAAATCTACGGAAGGCCAACTTGAATGCGTATCTTCTTATGGAATTGGGTAGTTTCTCTGAGAAATAAAATTAAAAAATAAATAAACAAACAAATGCTACACTAAAAAACATGATACACTAAAATACGAAGAAAAACAATTATAATGTTTCTCATTCTCACTGAAATGAAAAAAATAATTAAATATTTCTCAAACCTGAAACGAAAAACTTATAGTTTGTTTATAGAAAACTGTCTGCTGCTATGGAAACAAGAATTTTCCAATCATTTTAAGGAGGGTAGTTTCTATCTCCCCTGATTCAAAACCTGTCTTAAATATTGACCCACCACCGCAGCTCCAGATGAATGGCAAGGGAAGTTCTTTCCATAGACAAGCTATAGAGGATATAATTTGAGAAAAATATCAAAAAAAGAATTTTCGGTGGAATGAAAGTGATGCACTTTACATCTTCAGTTCCAGGTGTGGCGGAAATCGAATTATTTTTTTCCTTTTCGGTATGAGTGGAAAACTTAATATTTAAAATTATTTTATTCTTTTTATTATTAGTTTATTATTATTAGTTTACTGTCTATATTAAATTGTTTACGTCGGAATTAACTTAGTGTTAATCTTTTGCACTCTGAATACTTTAAAATGCTGTTTGAAATAAATATAAGTACTAAATCATTTACAATGCATAATACAGTATTTTTATATCATTTTTAAATTTCCTAAAATAATGTGGTTATTAATTTTTAAGGTATAAAAATTTTTAATTTTAGAGTGGTGACTGTTGATGGGTGACATCGCAGTGCAAAGGGCTAAAATTGCGTTTGAAATTGGCCTTCATCCATTAGGGAAAAAATGATTACTTACAGGTGGCACATGACACATAGCTAGAACCTTAAGCATTCTAACCTGTCAGAAACTCATTGCCATTTCGATTG